TCTCTGGATGGTAGGCTGAACTGAACTCAAGCTTCGTGCCCATCGCTTCATGTAAATTGTGCCAGAATCGGCTGACGAATCTGGGATCTCTGTCTGATACAATCGTGACGGGCACTCCGTGGAGTCGGATGATCCCACGGGTATATATCTCAGCCAACTTGTCCAGAGACATCTTCATCGAAACGGGTAAGAAATGCGCAACCTTGGTCAATCTGTCGACCACGACCCAGATAGCGTCGTGATGTTCAGACGACCTCGGTAATCCCGTAACGAAATCTATAGTGACTTCCTCCCACTTCCACCTCAGAATCGGCAGTGGCTGCAGGAGGCCAATAGGACTCTGATGCTCGGCCTTGACTTGCTGACAGGTAAGACATCTTCTCACGAACTCGGCGACGTCCTTCTTCATGCCTCTCCACCAAAACGACCCTTGTAGGTCGTGGTACATCTTCGTGCTCCCGGGATGGGCCAAGTACGGTGCGGTATGTGCCTCTGATAGAATCTCCTTCCGCAATGCCTCGACCTTCGGGACCACGATCCTGCCTCTGAACTCCAAGGCACCATCGGCGCTTAGCTGAAAGTCCTGTACACCTCCGGTGCGAACCTTGGCCTCCATGACACGAACAAACTCGTCAGAAGCCTGCTCTCGCCGGATCCTCTCTCTCAGTGTCGGCTAAAGCTGCATAGCACTGACACTGGCACTGGTACTCCCCGAGACAGCTATGGGAAGTGCATCGATCGCCTGAAGCTGCATCCGGGCAAACTTATGAATCAATGGACTCTGCTGTGTGATGACGTACGTCAAGTCACCCTTTACCTTCCGGCTTAGGGCATCCGCGACGACGTTCGCCTTTCCCGGATGGTACTGGATAGAACAATCATAATCCTTGACCAATTCGAGCCAACGGCGCTGCCTCATATTAAGCTCCTTCTGCGTGAAGATGTACTGTAGGCTCTTATGATCTGTGAATATCTTGCAGCGTCCGCCGTAAAGATAATGTCGCCAGATCTTCAGGGCGTGAACGACTGCTGCTAACTCCAAGTCGTGCGTAGGATACTTCTGCTCATGAGGCTTAAGCTGACGTGAAGCATACGCAACGACTCGTCCGTCCTGCATAAGGACACATCCCAAGCCCTGTCTCGAAGCATCGCTGAAAATAGTGAAACTCCGAGAAGGATCGGGAATAGTCAACACCGGTGCTGTAGTCAATCTCCTCTTGAGCTCCTGAAAGCTCGCCTCACATCTGTCAGTCCATTCGAACTTCACAGACTTCCTCGTCAGCTAGAAAAGAGGGAGGGCAATCTTGGAGAAGCCCTCGATAAACCTGCGATAGTAACCAGCCAACCCGAGAAAACTGCGAACCTCGGACGGAATCCTCGGTGTCGACCAATTCTGCACGGCTGAAACTTTATAAGGATCCACCTCGATGCCTGCCTGAGTAATAACATGACCCAGAAAAGATACTCGCTGAAGCCAGAACTCGCATTTGGAGAATTTGGCGTACAACTTTTCTCGTCTGAGGGTTTCAAGGACCACCCTCAGATGCTCCTCATGCTCCTTCTGACTCTTCGAGTAGATAAGGATATCATCAATAAAGACAATAACAAATTGATCGAGGTATGGATGGAAAATACGGTTCATGAGGTCCATGAAAACAGCTGGCGC